CCACTGCTCTAGGACCTTTCTTCACCTTGGTGGCCCTGATTCACCCTCCTAGTGTGCTTCCCTCTAAAATGTAAAGAATACTACTCTTCTCTTTCTCAACAAGATTTTCTAAGGATTAAATGAAATACTGTTGGTAAAGCCATTTTATAAATTCTAAGGAACTGTATAGGTATTATTTGCCAGAACTATCCGTGAACAAGCTTAGCTGTAAGGATCTGCCTGAGGCTGCTGGAAAACACAGTATATGACCAGTGGGCGGAAGAAGCTTAATCCCTTTGGGGGCTACAAGACTGTCACAGGGTCAGAATCACCGAGTTTTAGTGTAGAATGGGGCCTCTGAGATCATTTGGTCCATCCCCCCCATTTGCTGATGAAAAATCAGACCAGGGAGGAGCAGGGACTTGCCTTTCTCATCACTTGAGATTGGCTTGGGTCAGAGGATCTGCATGGAAGTCATGGTTCCAACGCTGGAGAGGGAGTTGCTGGACAGTTGCTGGACAGCCATCAGAAAATGCGTCGTTCCTCTCCCCAGGTCAGGGAAGCCAGGAGCCTTCTACAAGGTGGATGACTTTTAAGCCTCTTTTCCCCTCCTGGAGAGGCAGCAGGCTTTCTCTAGCTCTCAGACTCCTCAAAGACCCACCTGTTTCCTTCTATCAAATAGGATTTCCCAAGCAAACACAGCGTGTTGTTGTTTGTCTCTCAGCAGCTCTGCTGTGCGGGGAGCAAGGGCTCCACTCTGGATCAGCCCAGGGACGCCGGTGCCAAGCCTCTGATATATAGCACCGGGACTGCAGGGCATCCGAGTTGTAACAAGAGCAAGATGAGCTTGTGGCCTCGGGCTTCTAACCTGCTCCTCAACCCACACTTCAAAGAAAGTTATTACACAAGAGTTAGACTAAATCAAACCAAACTGCAATGTTTGCGTGCTGTGACCCATTTCCAGATCTCATTGTGTCTCACCACTAGCCCCTCAGAGACCCAGTTGGGGGCAGAACAGAACAACCCAATGATAATTTAGTTGTAGGTCTTTAAAAACGAGTCCAACTGATTTATTTTGAAATTTCAGTTAAGCATGATGTCAAGAAAATCTCTCTGGCTATTTATCATCTTTTTTCCTCTTAGCATAGTCCAAGTAGGCAGAATAAAATTAGAATCAGGCT